GTGTGTGTGAGAGTGAGTGAGTGTGTGTCTGCGTCTGCGTGTGTGTGTCTGTGTGAGTGTGTGTGCGTGTGTGTGTGTGTGTCTGCGTGTGTGTGTCTGCGTGTGTGTGTCTGCGTGTGTGTGTGTGTCTGCGTGTGTGTGTGTGTGTCTGTGTGTGTGGGTGGGGTTGGGGGGGGGTTTCCTTCCTTGTAACGCACACCTCGGTAAATAAACACTGAGCAAAGTGCAATCTCATTCTACCCTCCACTCCACACACCGCCCCCGCACCCCGTCCCCCCACTACCCCGGCGCGCTGGGATGGGTCACTCTCCTGTCCATCGTCTCCCCATCTCTTCAGAGACGTCACGTACCTTCCCCTCACCCCCAGCGCTCTTCCGACATCCATTGGGATGGCTAACAAACGCCGGCCCGGCCGTGCTCCACAGCCGAACGTGGCACTCTCTCAAAGTTCGGCTTCCTCCTACCACAGCCTCCCACTGCCTATGCTTGCAACGTGTCCCCTCCTGACGCTCGCCCCGAATCGGTGCCGCCCTCCTTACCCTGGCTGTCGCCTCCTGCCTGCCGAACGCCGCCGTCCTCCTCCTCCGGATGCTCCCGACGCGCCCTCTTGGTGGCGACCGAACCCATGGCCGAGCAGGACGCTCCGTCTGAGGGCTGTGGGCCGCCGCTCGGGATCGCTGGGTCGGCCGCGTCTGTGGGCAGGGGAGAGAGAGAAAGAGAGAGACGGAGCATCGGTGAGAGGCAAGGTGGGGCGCCGATGGCAGTTCAGAGGGTGGAATGGAGATTCCAGCCACCCCACCCTCCCCAACAGCGATGGGAACGACCGCCCTCTGAGCCAGCCCACTCCTTCGAGCGATTAGGGAGGGGCAGCAACTCCCGAGGGACTGGGGTAAGGAACTGGGCTAACCTCTCTCCCCAGGCGGCCCCCATAAGGCCGGGAAACCCCCTTTTACCTGATTGAAGGCGGCTCATCTTGCGCTCGTACTTGGTCTTGCTGTTGACCTGCCTCATCCTTCCGACATCCAGTTGGTAGCGGACCCGTCCAACAGACTGGTCCACGGTCCTCTGCCCCTGCCGCCTCGCCTGCTCCAGTTCGGCACACAGCGCGGCGCTGTATGGGTGCCAGGCGGTATCGTCACCCTGCCACTGCCACACAAAATCTGGGCGGAAACAGCAAGAGATTAACCAGGCTCAGGGAGGCTTTACGCCACAGGCACGACGAGGAAGCTCAAAGGAACAGCAGGAGGAGGCCGTTCAGCCCCCTCCTTGAGCCTGTTACACAGGAACAGCAGGAACAGGCCATTCAGTCCCCTCCTCGGCCTGTTACAGAGGAACAGGCCACTCAGCCCCCTCCTCAAGCCTGTTACAGAGGAACAGCAGGAGGCCATTCAGACCCCCTCTTGGAGTCTGTTACACAGAATCAGGTTGAGGCCATTCAGCCTGCTCCTGGACCCTGTTAGAGAGGAACAGGAGGAGGCCATTCAGTCCCTTGAGCCTGTCTCACTATTCATTGAGATTCTAGCTGCTATGAATCACAATTCCCAACCATCGCGTCGCTAGTCTGTGTACAGTTGCCGGCAAATATCCATCAAACCCACTGGTGACATTTCCAGCTAGCTCACCCTAAACTTCGACAGCGTTTAGTGCGAGAGATCCCAGGTTTCTGCTACTGTTTGGGGAAGGAGCCCATCCTGACATCCCTTTCAAATTGCCTCCTCCTTTAAATGGAAAGTAAAGCTCCCTCTGCTCTTTTAAACAGGAAATAAATCTCCCTCTATTCTTCTCAACAGAAGGTAAAGCTCCCTCTACTCTTTTAAGCAGAAAGTAAAGTTCTTCTATTCCATTAAACTGAAAGTAAGGCTCCCTCTACTCCAATAAACTGAAAGTAAAGCTCTCTCTACTCTTTGCCCATCAAACACTGCCAGGACAGGATCATACAGTCCTCCTTCTCTTTCACGGCGTAGCGCACGCTTCTCTCGAAGCCTGTCTGGCTGTTCTTCTGGACCATTTTCTTCAAATCCACTCGCAGGGTGACCTCCGAAGGAAGAGACAGCTGAACGGAGGTATTCCTGGACCTGGGGGGAGAAAGAAAGATATGGTGCAGTGTTAGGGTCAATGCGACTCACTTGGAAAGACTTGAGTTTATGTTCCCTGGTCCGAAAATCCAATCCTGTTCGCTCACTCTTCACTTAACACACTCCTTCAAATCTCCAACAGGATAGTGTCCTAGACCCAACTATACTCCCCACTTGCTCTAGGTGGAGGCAGCTCCGACATCATTCAAGAAGTCGACACCATCCAGGGACAAAGCAGCCCCCTGCTCAATTGGCACCGCATCCATAAACACCGATGCTCAGTCGCAGCAGTGTGTACCATCTACAAGATGCTCTGCAGAAACTCACTGAGGCTCCGTATGCAGTACCTTCCAAAACCCACACCCTCTACCATCTAGAAGGACAAGGGGCAGCAGATACATGGGAACACCAGCTCCCTGCAAGTTCCCCATCCCGACTTGGAAATATATTATGATCATTGGGCCTGGAACTCCCTCCCTAACAGCATTTTAGGTGTATGCATCATGCACTGGTTCAGGGAGGCAGGCAACAGATGCTGGGTCTAGCCAGTGAAACCAACATTCCTGGAAAAATTAAAAACACGCAACTTCACAGTCACACAATCAGTTAAAAAAGATCGAGAGAGAAGATGACAGACCTAGAGAGAGGGGAACCAAGTAAGACAGAGAGAGAGAGAGAGACAGAGAGAGACAGAGAGAGAGACAGAGAGAGACAGAGAGAGAGAGAGAGAGAGAGAGATAGGGAGGGGGACAGACTGCAAGAGAGAGATAGAGAGAGGGGGGGTGTGGAGGGGGACAGACTGCGAGAGAGAGAGATAGAGAGATGGAGAGAGAGAGAGGGAGGGAGACAGGGAGAGAGAAGGTGGGGGGTGGAGACGTTTTGAGGCATTCCTCTGCTATGGACACAGGTACCTGAAGCTGCAGAAATTTCAATCAGGGGGGAAGGGACTTGAGAGTCCGGAATCAGAAGAAAGCAGAGATATAAAGGTTGTGGGACTGGAGAAGATCACGGAGTTGGGGGAAGGTAAAACTAGGAGGGGGAGAGAGAGGTGGGATTAGAGACGATGGAAGGATTTGAGTTTTGAACTTGAGAGGCCTTTGGCGGAACACTGCCTTTGACACTTACCGCAAAGCCTCTGAAAGCTCCTGCTCATGCTCAGCCGAGTAAACATTCCAGGAGCCGTCATCCGCTTCCCATTCCCAACGACAAGCTAACTCTTTGAGACCCACCTCTTCTTCGTCATTGTCTGCCATTGCTCTCTTGCGGCCTGCAGGGAGAACACCAGTCCCACTCTCATAACTCACACACACCACCGAGGTTAAACTTATCAATATCCAGGCCTGGGCTGACAAGTGCCAAGTAACATTCGTGCCACACAAATGCCAGGCAATGACCATCTCCAAATCAAAGGAAATCTAACCACGCCCCCCCCTTGACATTCAATGGCGTTGCCATCACTGAAACCCCCCACAATCAACATCCTGGGGGTTACCATTGACCAGAAACTTAACTAGACTGACCACATAAATATAGTGGCGACAAGAACAGGTCACAGGCTCAAAATACTGTGGTGAGTAACTCACCTCCTGACTCCCTAAAGCCTGTCCACCATCAACAAGGCACAAGTCAGGAATGTGATGGGATACACCCCACTTGCCCTGGATGGGGGCAGCTCCGACAACACTTGAGAAGCTCGACACCATCCAGGAACAAAGCAGCTCCCCGCTCTATTGGCACCACATCCACAAACACCCGCTCCCCCCACCCACCGATGCTCAGCCGCAGCAGTGTGTACCATCTACAAGATGCCCTGCAGAAACTCACCGAGGCTCCTTAGACAGAACCTTCCACATCCCACGGCCACTTCCATCTAGAAGGACAAGGGGGCAGCAGATACATGGGAACACCAGTGCTCTGCGAGTTGCCCCTCCGAGCCACTCCCCATCCCGACTTGGAAATATATCAGCCGTTCTTTCAGTGTGGCCGGGTCAGAACCCCTGGAATTCCCTCCCTGAGGGGGACGTTGTTGTGGGTCTACCCTACAGCACATGGACTGCAGCGGTTCAAACAGGCAGCTCACCACCAGTTACTTAAGGACAACTAGGGACGGGCAATAAATGAATTTCAAAAAAAATCCCTGCGAGGCACAGAATTGTGGAACGAAACGGCACAGAATGCCATTCAGCCCATGGCACTGAGATCTGCTTTTTGTCATGTTTTGGAGCACTGGGCATGACACACACAGTTCAGGAAGAACAGGTATTTTTTCTGTTCCAGTTTGTTACTGTCACGTGTGCCAAGATACAGTGAAATGTATTGTTTTGCGTGCGATGCAGACAAATCATATCTTAGATAAGTACATCAGCATAGTAGAACAGAATGCACAATGTAGTGTTCCAGCAACAGAGAAGGTGCAGAGAGAGATCAACTCTAATATATGAGGGGTCTACTCGTAGGTCTGATAACAGCGGGGAAGAAGCTGCTCTTAAATCTGTTTGTGCAGGGAAGAAGCTGTTCTTGAATCTGTTGATAACGTGTTTTCATACTTTTGTATCTTCTGCCCGATGAAAGAAGATGAAGAGAGTATAACTGAGGTGGGAGGGGGTCTTTGATTATGTTGGCTGTTTTCCCGAAACAGCCGGAAGTACAGATGGAGTCATCGAGCCATACAGCACAGAAACAGACTCTTTGGCCCAACCAGTCCATGCTAAATCTCAAACTAGTCCCACCTGCCTGCTCCTGGCCCATATCCCTCCAAACCTTTCCTATTCATGTACTTATCCAAATGGCTTTTAAACGTTGTGACTGTACCCACATCCACCACTTCCACTGGAAGCTCATTCCACACACGGACCATCCTCTGTGTTTAAAAAAAACCTTCACGTCTTTTTTAAAATCTTTCTCCTCTCACCTTAAAAATATGCTCCAGTCTTGAAACTCCCCACTCTTAAAGAAAAGACACCTGCCATTCACCCTATCTACACCTCTCATGATTTTACAAACGTCTGTAAATTCACCCCACAACCTCCAGTATCCTTATAACTCAAACCCTCCACTTCAAGCAACATCCTGGTAAATCTCTTCTGAACCCTCCCCAGCTTAACGACATCCTTCCTATAACAGGGCGACCGGATTTGGACACAGTTCTCCAGAAACAAAAGCAGAAATTGCTTGAAAAGCTCAGCACTGTGTTGTGAGGAAGGGTCACCCCAGACCCAAAACATCAACTCTGGCTCCTCTTCACAGATGCTGCCAGACCTGCTGAGCTTTTCCAGCAACTTCCGTTTTTATTTCTGATTTACAGCATCTGCCATTCTTTCGGGTTTTATATGGTACTCCAGACGAGGCCTTACCGACATCTTGTACAAGCTCAGCTTGTGTCAATGGATGGGAGGCTGGTTTGTATGATGGACTGGGCTGTGCTCACAACTCTCCGTAATTTCTTGCCTCAGAGACAAGAATGAGCCTCAGAGGGAGTGTGGCAGAGACTTAGCAGGATGTTCCCGGGACTGTAGGGGTGAAATTACAAGGAGAGATTGCAAAAATAAAAAAAACAGCTGCATTCTGAGGAAGGGTCACCGGACCCGAAACTTTAACTCTGATCTCCCTCCACTGGTGCTGAGATTTTCCAGCAATTTCCGCTTTTTGTTTCGGATTTCCTGCGTCCCCAGTTCTTTTGGGTTTTGTTTTCGAGCAGGGCTGCAGTCCCTGGGATCTGGAATAAAGGTGAGAAATTTCATCGCAGCTTCCAAGAGAGCTGATGTGTTTGGGCAAGGTGAAACGGAAGAGGTTCGTCAGACATCACAGAGATCCCGACGGGAGTACGGGAAATCGTTTAGGTGGCACATCACACGAATTTGACAGAAAGTGAAACATGTGGCGAAGGTTTTTCCCCTTGTCTTCCGTCAGGACAGGCACGGGAATGTCAAAGTTAACGAGACCGCAACAATATACACGTCCAGAGAAAAGGGTGTCAATTGAGTGGAATCACAGAATCCCTACAGTGTGGAAGCAGGCCATTCGGCCCATCGGGTCCACACTGACCCACTCTCCAACCTATCCCTGTAACCCTGCATTTCCCATGGCCAACTCACCTAACCTGCACATCTCTAGACACTATGGGCAATTTAGCACGGCCAATCCACCCTAACCTGCACATCCCTAGACACTATGGGCAATTTAGCACGGCCAATCCACCCTAACCTGCACATCCCTAGACACTATGGGCAATTTAGCACGGCCAATCCACCCTAACCTGCACATCCCTAGACACTATGGGGTATTTAGCACGGCTAATCCACCCTAACCTGCACATCCCTAGACACTATAGGGTATTTAGCACGGCCAATCCACCCTAACCTGCACATCCCTAGACACTATGGGGAATTTAGCACGGCCAATCCACCCTAGCCTGCACATCCCTAGACACTACGGGGAATTTAGCATGGCCAATCCACCCCAACCTGTACATCTTTGGACTGTGGGAGGAAACCGGAGCACCCGGAGGAAACCCACGCAGACACGGGTATAATGTGTAAACTCCATACAGACAGTTGCCCGAGGGTGGAATCGAACCCGGGTCCCTGGCACCATGAGGCAGCAGTGATAACCGCTGAGCCACCGCGTTACCCACTCAACACTGACCAGCCACGACATTACCAGGGAGAAGCCCACACTTGGTGAACAATCCCAAGTGCGCCAATGTCTACACTAACAACCAACTGAATTAAGATAGTCAAATCAAACTTGTACCCTTCACGTGTTATGTCCTGCGGCTTTTTGATTTATCCGGGAGCGCGTGGCGACACCAATCAGTCGGCTCGTCAACCAATCAGCACCATTCTCTCCTGTAGTGTGAATTGTTGGGATCGATTGAAATTTGGCATTCTTGCATCGGTCCTGATGGGCGCAGAAGGCAATGCATCAATACAAGTCAAGTGAATGCGTTGTGACTGGAAGGCTATTTCCAGTCGTGTTTTGCAGCGCTCAGTCCTTTGCAATCTGTGGTCTGTATCAATGGTACAAACTTGAAAGCATGGGACATGGTTGAGAATCTCGTAGATAGCACACAAATTGGCTGGGGTTCGATAGTTAGGAAAGAAGCTATAGACTGCAGGAAGCTATGAATAGACAGGTCAGGAGAGCAGAACACTGGTAAACGGAGTTCTCTTGCAGAGAATACGTTCCAATTGCCCTGGATGGGGGCAGCTCTGACAACACTCAAGAAGCTCGACACCGCCCAGGGACGAAGCAGCCCCCGCTCAATTGGCACCGCATCCACAAACACCCGCTCCCCCCACCCACACCGCTCAGGCACAGCCGCAGCAGTGTGTACCATCTACAAGATGCACTGCAGGGACTCGCCGAGGCTCCTTAGACAGCACCTTCCAAACCCACACCCCTCTACCATCTAGAAGGACAAGGGGGGCAGCAGATACATGGGAACACCACCCCCTGCAAGTTCCCCATCCAAGCCCCTACCCACCCCGACTTGGAAAAATATCGACTGTTCCTTCTCTGTGGCTGGGTCGGAATCCCTGGAATTTCCACCCTGAGGGACATTGTGCATCTACCCTACAGCACATGGGACTGCAGCGGTTCAAGAAGGCAGCTCACCACCTCCCCCAGCTTCTGAAGGGGAGATGTGTGATGGGCGATAAATGCTGGGCCCAGCCAGCTACACCCACGTCCCTGTGAAACAATTAGAAAAAAGTGCAAGGTGTTGCATTTGAGGGAGGCAAGGGAATAACTAGCAAATGGTGAGGGACAGAGGGAGTTTTCAGGGCCTGGCAAAAGATCCCTGAAAGTACAAGGTGAAATCTTGCCTTTACTGGCCAAGGAATGGGACTTAAGAGCTGGACGGGAAGCAGGAACTATATAAAACACTGCATAGACCACAGCTGGAGCACTATGTATAGTTCTGGTCACCACCCTACAGGAAAGCACTCAGGAGGGCACAGCACATATTTACAAGGGTGTTGCCCAGACAGGAGAACTCTAGTTATGAGGAAAGATTGGACAGGTTACTGTTGTTTTTCATTGGAACAGGGGAGACTGAAGGGAGGTTTAATAAAGGCGTGTAAAATTACCAAGGGGCTGAACAAAGGGACTAACCTTCGCAAAGTGGTCAACAAGTCAGAAGCATACGTTTAAAGAAATCAGCAGAGGGAGGGGAAAGGAGTTTATTGGTCAGTGCATTGAGTATAGGAGTTGGGAGGGTCATGTTGTGGCTGTACAGGACATTGGTGAGGCCACCTTTGGAATAATGCATTCAATTCTGATCTCCTCACTACAGGAAGGATGCTGTTAAACTTGAAAGGGTTCAGAAAAGGTTTACAAGGATGTTGCCAGGGTTGGAGGGCTTGAGCTACAGGGAGAGGCTGAGTAGGTTCGGGCTATTTTTCCAGGAGCGTCAGAGGCTGAGGGACAAACTTGCAGAGGCTTATAAAATCATGATGGGTGTGGATAGGAGTGAATAGCCATTGTCTTTTTCCTAGGGTTGACAGAGTCCAAGACTAGAGGGGCATAGGTTTAAGGTGAGAGGGGAAAGATTTGAAAGGGACCTGAGGGGCAACTTTTTCACACAGAGGGTGGTGCGTGTATGGAACGAGCTGCCAGAGGAATTGGTGGAGGCTGGTACAATTACAACATTTAAAAGGCATCTGGATGAGTACATGTATAGGAAGGGCTTAGAGATATATGGACCAAATGCTGGCAAATGGGACTAGATTAATTCAGGATATCTGGTTGGCATAGAAGATAGGGCCAGGAGGAGGCCATTCGGCCCTTCGACCCTGCTCTGTCATTCATCACGATCATGGCTGGTCGTCCAACTCCATAGCCTAATCCTGCTTTCTGCCTATAACTTCTGTCTCCACCTAACCTTTGATTCCATTCACCCCAAGTGCTATATCTAGCTGCTTCTTGAATACATTCAATGTTTTGGCATCAACTACTTTCTGTGGTAATCAATTCCACAGCCTCACCACTCTTTGGGTGAAATAATGTCTCCCCATCTCCACCCTAAATGGTCTACCCCGAAT